CCCTCCACCTACCTTTGTGTTATCCGCAAATGTAGCAACAATATCCTCAGTTCCTTTGCCCAGATCATTAATGCATAGCACGAATAGTTGTGGTCCCAACACTGACCCCTGAGGAACTCATCAATTTAGTGGCTGCCATCCTGTAAAAGACCCTTTTTATCCTGACTCTTTGCCTTCTGCCAGTCAGCCAACCCTCGACCTTGCCATTAACACCATGCCCCTATCTTATTTAGCAGCCTGCTGTGTGGTACCTTGTCAAAGGTCTTCTGAAAGTCCAAATCATCACATCCACTGGCTCTCCTTTGAGTAACTTGGTTATTGCTTCCTCAAAGATTTGTCAGGCATGTCCTCCCCTTAATGAAGCCGTGCTGATTCTGCTCTGTTTTACCATGCACTTCCACGTACTCTACAGTCTCATTCTTAATGATGGACTCTGAAACCTTACCAACAACTGAGGTCAGGATACACGGCCTAGAGATTCCTGACTCTGCCTCCCTCCTTTCTTAAATAGGGGTATTGCATTAACCATTTTCCAATTATCTGGGACCCTCGCTGACTCCAGTGATTGTTGAAAGATCACCACCAATGCCTTTACAATCTCCTCAGCCATCTCCTTCAGAACTCTGGGCTGTAGTCCATCTGGTCTTGGTAATTTCTCCACCTTCAGATGTTTCAGTTTCCTCAACACCACCTCACTTTTGTCCCATGTCTCTCTAGAAGTGCTGGTATGCTGCTGGTGTCTTCAACTCTGAAAACTGATGCAAAGTACCTGTTCTGTTCCTCTGCCATTTTGTTGTTCCCTAATACTGCTTCTCCAACCTCATTTTCCAGCAGTCCAATATCCAGTCTTGCCTCTCTGTAACTTTTTAGATATCTTAAAAAAAAACTCTTAGAGTCTTCTTTTATAGTACCAGCTAACTTACTCTCATATTTCGTCTTATACCCTGTTATTGTTTTTTTTTAATTAACCTGTACTGGTTTTTAAAGGCTTCCGGAACTCTGGCTTCCACTAATCTTTGACACGTTGCATGCTTTTTCTTTTGCTTTTATCCTGTCTCTGACTTTCCTTGTCAGCCATGGTGCCTCATCCTCCGCTTTGTATGTTTCTTCTTCTTTGGGATGAATTTTTGCAGTGTCTCCTGAATTATCCCAGAAACTCCTGCCATTGCTGCTTCACTGTGTTCCCTGTTAAGCTCCCCCTTCCGGTCAACTTTGGCCAGCTCCTGCTTCACGTCTTTGATGTTTCCTTTACTCATGCTACCTCTCAAACTGCAGGGTCTGTTATATTGTGGTCACTGCCCTCTAAGGGTTTCTTCACCTTGAAGTCCCGAATTAAATCTCCCTCATTACACATCACTAAATCCAGAATTACCTGTTCCTTAGTGAGTTCCACCTCAAGTTGGTCCAAAGAAACTTCTCATAGACATTGTACAAATTCCTTTCCTTGAAATCCACTGCAAATCTGATTTTTCCCAGTCCACCTGCATATTGAAGTCCCCTGTGATTATTGCAATAGTGCCTTTCTTACATGCCTTTTCAATCTCCCGATTCATTTTCTTCCCCTGACAGCTACAAAGAGCCTTGTTCACAAATTCCATCAGGGTCTCTTTTCCTTTGTGGTTCCTTAACTCTGCCCCCACAGCACAGATTCTACGTCTTCTGACTTGATGTCAATACAGTTTCATTTCTTACTAACAAGGAAACCCCATCTCCTCTGCCCATCTGCCTGTTTTTTCATAGGGCTTGTATCCTTGGATATTTAGTTCTCAGCCCTGATTCCCAAGTTGCCATGTCTCTACGGTACCCACTACATTGTACAGCCAATCTGCGCTACAAGCTCATTTACCTTCTTTCATATACTGCGTGCATTTAAGTACAACACCCTCAGTCCTGCTATGACTGCCCTCTTCTCATAGGTGTCCCCTTATCATCTGTGCCTGAAGTTAGATTCCACATCCTTTCCACAGTTTCTGTCCTACGATTTTGTTGTGGAAACTTGAACCCGAGCTACACCCACCACCCCCCACTTATCTTTTTCTATAAGTTTGCATGCAATTGAAAGCCCCCGTGCCCCCCTCCCCCTACAATTATTTTAAAGCTTTATCCATAGACCCTAGTTTTGTGAATAGCCAGGACTCTTATCCCAGGATGATTCAGGTGTAGCCTGTCCCATCAGAACAGCTCTGTCCTTCCCCAGTACTGCCATCAATGTGCAGTGAATTCGAACCTGTTTCTCCCACACCAATGTTTGAGCCATGCATTTACCTCTTTAATCTTGCTCACTTTATGTTAATTTGCTTATAGCTCGGGTAGTAATCCAGAGGTTATTACCTTTCTTGGTCAGCTTTTCTAATTTACACACGGGCTGCTCGTACTCTTTCCTCTTGCTGCCAACCTCGTTTGTACCCACGTGGACCACACTAACTGGTTTTTCCCTTCCCACTCCAAGTTCCTCTGCAGCCGATGAGGCATCCTGAACACGGGCACCAGGCAGGCAGCACTATTTTTGGAACTCTTGATCCTGGACACAGAGAATAATGTCTATTACCTGACTACACTACCCTCTATTTACAAGTAAATTTCTCTTTTGTTTTCTGCATCCCTCCCCACCATCTTGAATGGCCCCATGTACCATGGTACTGTGGCCAGTTTGCTCATCCTGCCTGCAGCCCACACTCTTATCCACACAGGGAGCACAAAGTCCACAGCTAAGACTCCTTCAGCAACATCTCCTGCATCCCCCTTGTCTCATTCGTAGTCATACCCTCTTGTCCCTGATCATTGACTGAATTTGAGGTAGTTAATTTAGGGTTGTGATTGCCTCCTGAAAGACAAGGTCCAGGTAAATGATGTCCCCATTCCCTGATATGTGACAGTGTTTGGAGCTCAGACTCCAGGTTATCAACTCTGAGCCAGAGTTCCTCAAGCAACCAACGCTTGCAGTGGATGTGATCACTATGAACCACCGTGGGGCCCTGGCATTAAGTTAACTGTTCCTTGTTTGATTTTCAACATTTTGCACTAAAAGAACATCCACCATTAGTGGGGAGATTAATTGAACACGCTCAAGGGGCCGAAATTGGCAAGTGCAGATATCTTGAAGGATTGTGTGGCTGGCAGAGATGACAAGAGATGGGAATGATCACTATCGTGGAATGATTTCAAAGCAAGGAAAGGAAATTGAAAATATTTTCAAGACTTCTTCGGTCAGTGAGCTCAGGGTGAGGAGAACAAGACTCAGTGTAAATAAGCACATGGACAGCCCGTGTGTTGGGTGAGTTCAAGATGAAAGGGAGCTTGAAAGTGAGAAGTGTATCAGGAGTGCGTTGGAGTCATTCAGTCTCGAGGTCACAAAGGACTGGATGAGATTTTCAGCACATGGAGCTGAGACTGTTCTGGAGTCGGGCCATGTCACTGAAATGGAAATAGAACGTCACGGTGAGGATGTGGCTCTGTGGTTGAAAGCTTATCTCCAAGTCCGATATTTCGCCAACTTTGTGAAGAGCCTGCTTCAAACAATTATCAGTGCGAACGATGCAGTTTGAGTTAGGAAATTTGTAACAGGGACTGAAGTCAGTAACTATGACTGAACAAAGGATCAGGAGTCGGCCATTCAGCTCCCTGATCCTGTTCTGCCATTGAGTGAAATCAATCCTGATCTGTGGCCTAACTCCATAAACCTGTCTGTGGACCATATCCCTGAACTCCCTTGCTGATCATAAGTTTATCCAGGTTAGATTTAAAACTGACAACTGAATGATTGAGCATCGACTGCCATTTTTGGAAGCAAATTCCAAAACTCTACCACTCATTGTGTGTAGAGGTGATCCCTAATATATCTTCTGAACAGTCTTGCCCTAATTCTCAGATTATGCCCCCTACTTCTGGATTGAATTGGAGGAAATTTATATGTGAATTAGAGGGAGCTGCAAGGTGATGATAGACACATATGCCTGCTGCCCTGGTCTTTCATGGTGGTGGAAGTGGCTGGTTTGGGAGGTTTTGCTAATGACACACGATACATGGAGGCATGTAATGAGGATGACATAACAAGACTACCGAGGGACAGAAACAGGTTATGCAAGGAGACAAAAACTCAGTGAATGGAATATAATGTGGGAAAATTGAGGTTTTTGTATTTTCGCAGGAAGACTAGGACAGATGAATATTATTTAACTGGGGAAAAACATTGTAGAAAGCTGTAGCACAGAGAATTATGGATCCTCGTACTTGAAAGATGAAAAGTTCGCATCCAAGTTTAGCAGGTAATCGGGAAGGTAAACAGTCTGGCCTTTATTTTAAAGGGAATGGCGTGTAAAAATAGAGAATATGCTAAAACTGAGCAGGAAATTAGTCAGATACCACCTGGAATACTGTGAACAGTTTTAGTCACCCGGAAAAGCAGTCTATAGAATGTTCAGGGGATTGATCCCGGATATGCGGGGATTTTCTCAGTGGATGAAAGGAAACCTTATTGAAAGATATAAAATTCTTAGGGACTTGACAGGATAGATTCAGAGACTGTTTCTCTTTGTTTGAGAGTGTAGGAGGAGAAGACATAATCTCACAGTCAGGAGTCACTTATGTCAGACTGAGATGCCGGGGAGTGGTGGTACAAGATACTGAATTTGTGGAATTCCTTACTGCAGAAGCTGGGCTGCCCAGTGTATTCAAGGCTGAGATAGAGATTTTTAATCTGTAAAGGAAACAAAGGTTATGGGATAAGACAGGAAAGTGGAGCTGAGGATTTTCTGATCAATCCTGATCTCATTGAATGGCAAGAGCAGATTTGATGGATTGAATTACCTACTTCTGTTCCTATATCTGCTTCGTTTTGTTTTTCTGGTTTCTGTCTCACTCCTGTTTTTCGGTTTTCAACCAATTTCACAGGGTATTAGAAGAGGAAGATTTGCAGTGGGGAGACTTGAAATCAAACATCACTTCAGGATCTGATGGAGTCGCCCTGTTTATTGTAACCCGAATATCATTTGGTTTTGAACATGGAAGGAAAAAGCACCATTCACAGTGGGGAGATATTGTACACGTGTTGTACGTGTGGACAAGGCTTCAGCAGATCATCTGCCCTGTCACAACATAAATACAGTCACACTGGGGAGAGGCCATTCGTCTGTTCTGACTGTGGGAAACGATTCATCCAATTATCCACCGTGCTGAAACCCCAGCAAGTTCACACACAGAACAGACTGTTTAAATGCTCAGACTGTGGGAAGTGTTATAAAAGCTCTGGCGCCCTGAAGCTGCATCAATCTGTTCACACTGGCGAGAGACCCTTCACCTGCTCAGAATGTAGGAAGACGTTTGCTCGAAAATCCATCCTGCTGAAACATCAGCAATTTCACACAAAGGAGAGACCTTATAAATGCCCCGACTGTGGGACATGCTATAAAAGACATAGAACATGCAACAGTACAGCACAGTACAGGCCCTTCGGCCCACAATTTTGTGCCGAACTTTTACCCTAGACCCAAGGTCTATCTAACCTCCACCGCTACCTTATACTATCATCCATTTGCCTATCTATTAGCGGCTTAAATGTCCCTAATGAGGCCGACACCACTACCCTCTCCAGCAATGCATTCCACGCCCCTATCGCTCTCTGAGTAAAGAACCTACCTCTGACGTCTCCCCAATATCTCCGTCTTTTCACTTTAAAACTATGTCCCCTCGTAAATCTACCTCCACCCTAGGACAAAGTCTCTGGCTGTCTACTCTATCTATACCTCTGATCATTTTGTACACCTCTATCAAGTCATCTCTCATCCTTCATCGTTCTAAAGAGAAAAGCCCTTGCTCTCTCAACCTTTCCGAGTAAGACCTTCCCTCCATTCCAGACAACATCCTGGTAAATCCTCTCTGCACTTTTTCTAACGCTTCCACATCTTTCCTGTAATGAGGTGACCAGAACTGGACACAATACACCAGATGTGGCCGAACCAGGCTTTTGTATAGCTGGAGTATAACTTCATGGCTCTTGAACTCAGTCCCTCTATTAATGAAAGCTAACACCCCATATGCCTTCTTAACAACTCTATCCACCTGGTTGGCAGCTCTCAGGGAACTGTGAACATGAACCCCGAGATCCCTCTGCTCCTCCACACTGTCAAGAATCTTTCCGTTAACCCTGTTTTCTGCTTTCAAGTTTATCCTTCCAAAATGAATCACTTCACACTTTTCAGGGTTAAAGTCCATCTGCTACTTCTCAGCCCAGCTCTGTATTCTATCAATGTCCGTTTGGAACCTAGAACAGACCTCCGCACTGTCCACAACGTGACCCACCTTCGTATTGTCCACGAACTTGCTAATCCACCCTTCCACTCCTTCATCCAAATCATTTACAAAAATCCCAAATAGAAGAGGACCCAGAACCGATCTTTGTGGTACCCCACTCGTAACTGAGCACCATGTTGAATATTTTCTGTCCACTACCACCCTTTGTCTTCTAAGGGTCAGCCAATTCTGAATTCAATCTGCCACATTTCCCCCTATCCCATGCCTTCTTACCTTCTGCATGAGCCTACCACAGGGTGCCTTATTAAACGCCTTACTTAAATCCATGTATAACACATCCACTGCTCCACCTTCATCCACGTGTTTGGTCACCTCTTCAAAGAAGTCAATAAGGTTTGTGAGGCATGATCTACCCCTCACAAATCCATGCTGGCTATCACGAATCAAACTGCCTTTCCAAGTGATCATAAATCCTGTCTCTCAGAGCCCTTTCCAATAATTTGCCCACCACTGACGTAAGACTAACTGGCCTGTAATTTGCGGGGTTAACCTTGTTCCCTTTTTTGAACAAGGGAATGACGTTTGCCTCTTTCCAATCTTCCGGCACTATACACGCGGACAGTGAAGATCTGGGGACCTGATGTTGCATTAATGTGTTCACACTGACAACAGACCGTTCAGGTGCTCCCACTGTGAGGCTAGGTTCAGGCAGTCATTCCAACTCACTGTCGACCAGCAAACACACACTGGGGAGAGGCCATACACCTGCACTGTGTGGGAAGGGATTCACTCAGAAATTCGACCTGCTGCATCACCAGTAACTTCACACAGAGAAGAGACCTTTTCAATGCCCAGACTGTGAAAAGTGCTTTCAAAGATCTGGGGACCTGATGTTGCATCAACATATTCATAGTGACGAGAGACCGTTCAGGTGCTGTCACAGTGGTGCTGGGTTCAAGTGGTCAACCCAACTTGCTGTACACCAGCGATCTCGCACAGGAGAGAGGCTGTACACCTGCACTGGCTGTGGGAAGGGATTCACTCTGAAATCCAGCCTACTGAAACACCAGCGAGTTCATGAGAATTGACAGCGACTGGTTTTTACTGTGAACATATCCCTGCTTCGTACTGTCCCTCCCTCTCTGCAAGAAGGTCTGGATGACAACGAAACAAAACCACCTTTTTAAATCTCTTATGTATGTTAGTGTTCTTTAAATTGATCATTTTTGATTGCAGGAGCTGGGTATTGCTGTTAATCACATCCAGGGCACAACTATGTTCATTGGAGTCTTTTTGCGTTGATCTTTACAAATTCCATCCTAGTTATAAGTATTCATGAAGGGATAAAAAGATAATTATGTCAGGTTTGTGGGAAACACACGGCCTGCTGAAATTTACTGAAGACTTTAGCACTTTCTTTTGAAGTGTTTGCTCTTTCTATCACCTTCATCTTGTGAGGAGCTCATGGAGCGTCCTTGTCATTTGGATTGAGACAGTCTGATCATCTATCTCTCCCATGTCCCTCCTTTCCCTGAAACTGTCTGAAGTGCCAGCTAGTCTAAGTCCTGAACTTATATCTTTCCCCGGTTCGTCTCCTACCTCCAGAGCTCCTTGTATCCATGAGAACTACCACTTAGCTCCTCAACTCACTTTCGACTCAGTCACTGAACATTCAATCCCTACTTTTTTTTTTGTGAGTTGCTGTTAGAGTAGACAGTTCTACTTGGAGTTGGTGTACCTGGTTACTGCTTTGGTGCCCTCAAAGATTGTGTTTGGCCAGCTCCCTGGGCAGCAGAAAGCAGATGGTGTTCCAGGTCGCTCGGGAGGACAGCATCTACCACAGAGTGTAGTGGAACAGGCGGTAGGCCTTGGCGGTAGATGTCTGTTTGCTGATAATGTTAACAGTTCTTGCTTTTGTCTGTTAGAGTCCCTATCACTTTTAAATCCTTCATTTGAAAATCAACCTTGACCTCACCTCCAAATTCTCTTTCCCGTCCAAAGATCTGCAACTTGTTGTTGTTCCCCCCTCCCCACCCCCAAAGGAAGTATTCCTGGCTCGTCCTATTCTCATCTCGGTAACATCATCAAAAGCCACTATGTTAGTTTTTGCACATCCATTGACATCACCCAACTCGGCCCTCATCCCCACGTCTCCATTCCTCCACTGTTGCTAACTTATCAGACTCTGTCGTTCACATTTCTGGATGTGTGGAAATTTATTCCAGTTTGTAATTCTGAAATTCACTGCTTAATTTTCTTCCCTAACTATCATGTCCATCCGTTTGCAGGATAACTGAGGATGAAACACACTGTTGCCCACCGCCCCCAAAGCCAGCAGCACTACAGTAAACACGAGCTACCAGCCCTGCCGGGTCTTCACCATCCCCCCCAGACCACCCCCTCACTGAGGACAAACTGGCAGTCCTCAGTAACGGACTCACCTTTATCCCCCTCCACCTGAACATCAACGAATACCGCTCACGCCTGGACATCGAACAGTTTTTCCGCTGCCTCCGCCTCTGCACTTATTTCTTTATCGCGAGTATAACCCCCGTTGTACTGACCCCTTCTCCTGTCTCCAACACACCCCTTCCTCCTGGACACCACCCCAAGGCCTTCTACCCTCCCTCGACCTCTTCATCTCCAACTGCTATCATGACATCAATTTCCTCAATCTCTCCACCCCACTCACTCAAACCTCTTGCCCTACAGAACGTGCGGCCCTCCACTCCCTCCGCTCCAACCCTAACCTCACTGTAAAACCCGCGGACCAGGGAGGCGCCGTTGTAGTATGGCGCACTGACCTCTACATCGCCGAGGCCAGGCGCCAGCTCTCTGATACCTCCTCCTACCGTCCCTTTGATTGTTACCCTACCCGCGACCACCAAAACTTCATCTCCCAGACCATCCATAACCTCATCACCTCAGGTGACCTCCCACCAACAGCCTCCAACCTCATCGTTCCCCAACCCTGCACCGCCCGCTTCTACCTCCTTCCCAAAATCCATAAACCTGACTGCCCTGGTCGACCCATTGCCTCTGCCTGCTCCTGCCCCACCAACATTATCTCCACTTATCTGGACTCTATTTTCTCCCCCCGGTCCAGGTACTCCCCACCTACGTCCAGGACACCACCCACGCCCTCCACCTCCTCCAAAACATCCGATTCCCTGGCCCTCAACACCTCATCTTCACCATGGACTTCTAATCCCTGTATACTGCATTCGCCATGCAGACGGCCGAAAAGCTCTCCGCTTCTTCCTGTCCCGCAGGCCAGACCAGTCCCCCTTCACCGACACCCGTATCCCCTATCAAACTCATCCTTACCCTTAACAATTTCTCCTTCAACTCCTCCCACTTCCTACAGATGAAAGGGGTGGCCGCAGGGGTCCAAGCTAAGCCGGCCTTTTTGTACGAAATGTGGAACAGTCCCTCTTCCCCAGCTACACTGGCCCTATCCCCCACCTCTTCCTCCGTTACATTGATGACTGTATCAGCACTGCCTCATGCTCCCACGAGGAGCTCGAATAGTTCATCCACTTTACTAACACCTTCCAACCTAACCTTAACTTCACCTGGACCATCTCTGATACCTGTCTGTCCTTCCTGGACTTCTCTGTCTTCATCTCTGGTAACCACCTAGAAACTGATATCTATTTCAAGCCCACCAACTGCCACACCTACCGAGACTACACCTCTTCTCACCCACCTTCCTGCAAGAATGTGATCCCCTATTCCCAATTCCTCCACTGCATCTGCTCCCAAGATGAGGTGTTCTGCTCCCGGACATCTCAGATGTCCTTGCTTTTCAAGGACCGCAATTACCACCCTCCGCCCCCCACAACAATGGTTGAAAATGTCCTTGACCGCATCTCTTGCGTTTCCCGCACCGCAGCCCTCACACACCCTGCCCGCAATAAAAACAAAGACAGAATTCCCCTTGTCCTCACGTATCACCCCGTTAACCTCTGGATTCAACGCATCATTCTCCGCCACCTGCAATCTGACCCCACTATGAAGGATATATTTCCCTCCCCACTCTTACGTGCCTTCCATAGGGACCGCTCTCTCCATGACTTCCTCGTCCGCTCCACACTCCCCATTAGCCCCACCACCTTTCCCTGCAACCACAGGAGGCGCTACACCTGCCCCTACACCTCCCCCCTCACTTTCATCCCAGGCTCCAAGAAAACCTTTCACGCTAAACAGATGTTCACCTTCACATCTGCTCATGTGGTATATTGTATCTGCTGTTCCCGATGTGGCCTCCTCCACATCGGGGAGACATTTCAGAGGCTCGGCGACCACTTCATGGAGCACCTACACTCAGTTCGCGACAAACAACATCTCCAAATCGCGAACCACTTCAACTCCCCCTCCCTTGACGCCATGTCCATCCTGGGCCTCCTCCAGTGTCACAACGATGCCACCCGAAGGTTGGAGGAACAGCACCTCATATTCAACTTGGGAACCCTGCCGCCCAGTGGTCTCAATGTGGACTTCAGAAGCTTCAAAATCTCCTCAACCCCGACCTCATCCCAAGACTAGCACGCCCCCAACCCTGCCTCCTTGACTTGTCTGTCTTTTCTCCCACCTATCGGCTCCTCCCTCCTCACTGACCAACCCCCATTCCCACTTCCATCCTATACTCACCTCTACTAGCTTCACACCCGCTCCTTGAACTGTCTGTCTTCTCTCCCACCCTATCCGCTCCACTCTCTACCTGCTATCACTGCCCCCCAAATTTATTTCAGAGACCCTCCCCCTTTTCTGAAGAAGGGTCCAGACTGAAACGTCAATTTTCCTGCTCCTCTGATGCCGCCTGGCCTGCTGTGTTCACTCAGCTCCACACTTTGTTTTATCAGGCACTTCTTTTGTCTCTACTTCTTCATCACCGCTCCCCTTGATTTCGCAACTTGAAAAATTTGTAAGTGAAATTCTCCCACCCTTCACCCGCTCATTCCTTTGTTCACCGTCCCTCTCCCCCTCCCCGTGCCCTTGCTCACCGATCTGAACCATTCACCCAGTTTCAGAGTCCACAGCAGAGAAAAAGGCCCTTTGGCCCATCAAATCAGTGCTGGTCAAATAATTATTCAAGTGTCATTTCCAGCACTTTGTCCAGAGACGTGTCCGAAATGGCATTACATTTAAACAGAAATTGCTGAAAAAACTCTGCACGTTCTGGCATCATATGCGGAGAGAATAGACCGAAGGAAGGGAAACTCGACACGAAAAGTTAACTCTGATTTCTCTTCACAGATGCTGCCAGACCTGCAGAACTTTGTCAACAATTTCTGTTTTGTTTCTGATATACAACATCCGCAGTTCTTTCGGTGTTTATTTTATACATCTAAATAACAGTGGAATGTTATGACAGTTTTCACCCCTCCCACATTTCCAGGCAGTGAGTTTCAGATTCTCACCATCTGATTGAAAAAAATCCTCACATCTCATCTAAACTGCCTGTCCCTTACATTAATCCTTGCCCCCCGATACTGATTCCACCACCAAGCAGAAAGATTCATTCTTGTTTATTCTGTCTGTTTCCCTCATAAATTTATACATCACAATCACGTCCTCGCCACCCTCCCCTCTCCCCCGCACCTCAGTGTATAACAAAAACAGAAGTTGCTGGAAAAGCTCAGCAGGTCTGCCAGCATCTGTGAAGAAAAAATCAGTGTTAACCTTTCAGGTCTGGTGACCCTTCCTCAGTCTATTTTGCTCTAAAGAATCTAACCCCAGTCTCAGGGTGGAGAGATTCCCTGCTGATGGATTAGATTCTGCCCTGCTGGATGTCTCTCGCATTCACTTAGTCTTTCAGATTTGAACATCGGCAGTGTTTCTTCATTCTATAATCCTAACACACGGATTAAACATTATCAATAATTCAATTCATTTCTCCATATGTGTTTTGTAGTTTCCTTGAAAGTGTGATTAATTTTTGAGGGCTTTCTCAGTTGGGAGATAGTTTAAAAAGTTTAGATAGTTGCAATTTAACCATCTCCCCCGGATTCGATCAGTTGTCAGCTCCGCAGGCCTCTGACGCACTGGCTGATGTAAGCAGTAAAATTGGTGACAGTTTCTTAAA